CCCCAGGGTGCTGCGAGGTGCCGGGTCTCCCAGGCCACCGACAGATGACTGTGGAAGCATTGGGACCCTCCCGGGAGATGGGTGCTGCCCCAGCCCTGGCAGCCCAGGAGTCTGCCCCCCCCGCCCCGTTCCCATCAGGCCTCTACCCTGTATGCCCTGACCTGCTGTCCTCACCCATCATGTGTCCACGGCTGGCATCTCTGTCCATTCACAGAGTTACCTTGTAAGTTTTTGCTGTAGGGACTTCCGTCGTGATGTCTTCAACGGTCCCACGTGGAAGGACACTGGCGGGTTTCCACCTTTCCTGTGCTTCTTTTAGCCTCTTCCTTTGTGGCATTTCAGGAACGGATATCTGATATTTGTGCCCAACCCTCCCTGCCTCTGTCCTCCCTGCAGGGGGGTGGGTGGGACCTTGTGGCCGGAGCCTGTGAGGATTCTTCTCCTGATTTGCAGAAGGCCACCCTCCTGCTGGGTCCTTCCATCGTGGGGAGAGAGGACCGATGCCCCTTGTGGGGCTCACCTCTGAAACCATTCCACTGGGGCCGAGCCTTCAGCATCAGAATGTGGGGGACACAGCCGTCCACGACACCTTCCTCGGCCACTGTATCGCTATGGGGCCTCCGGGAACATCACAAGGCTTCTCAGACCCTCAGGCTCCCCTTCCATAAAACGGACAATTCCAACCGCCTGCAGATGGGGACACGTGATTGTGAGCCCTGTGTGCGAGCGCCCGGCCCAGAGAGCCAGGTGCCATGTTCCCCCAGTGTCCCCCGTCCTCTGACTCTCGCCCCAGCCCTCACTCCCCCCAGCCGCATGCAAGCGGCTTCTCCCAGCTGCACTCCAGGCCTGGGTCCCGGGCTCATCCCTTCTGCACGGGGCCGTTCACTGGGAGCTTTGACACTGCGCGGCTCTGCAGGGGCTGGTGTAACCCCCAGCAGGGATGTGGCCGGCTCTCCCGGCCTTCTGCAGTGGGCCAGGGGACGTGGCTCCCACAGTGGGATGGAGCCCGTGGAGTCAGCTGACCCTCTGCCCCAACCCTCAGTTGGGCTGCAGGAACACGGGGTGGGAAGGGGCGGGCCTTGGGGTCTGGCCCTGGCAGGGCTGGGCCCTCTGGGGCTCCCCCGTCTGATATGTGCTCCTCCCCGACAGAAGGTGCTGTGCCTTGCTGGCAGTGGGACCCCATCCTGGTGCTGACCTGGGACTCCTGTCCCTTTGGCCTCTCCTCGCCATCTTGCCTCCTGCCCGAACAATGCCGGGGTCTCCAGCACCACGTGGCCGGCCCTGCCGCCAGCCCTGGCTACTGTTTGGTCCCGGGCACCCTGCTCCCTCCTTCCCCTGTGAAATGTGTGCAGACATCATGTCCCAGGAAGCTTCTGCCCGCCCCCCAAACTTGCCTTTGCACTTTGACTCCTGGACGCTCTGTGCCCCCGGACACCCTTCCCTGGCCAGCCTGGCCCAGTGGTCACTTAGGTGAGCTTGGCAGACCCCATCCTGGGGACCTCATGGCCGGCGGTGCAGCAGATGTGGACTGGCATGGATGCAGTGGTCAAGCCCATCCCGGGACGGGTCCCTCAGAATGCTACAGCATGGCTGTGGTCAGTCCTTCAGGAGGACGGCGTCCTAATTCCAGCACTGAAGTGATCAAGACGTTGTTTCAGCCTGGGAATGGCTGGGAGGGGCCAGGGACCTCTGTTTCTCCCTTAAACAATATGACCAACATGGGGAGGTTCATCCACGTAGCAGACCAGCTTTCCACCCTGGACAGGACACAGACTCCCGTGTGGTGGCGCCCCATGGCCGCGGCAGACACGGAAGGACCAGGTCACGTGTGGTCCCCCGTAGTGAACGCCCGAACAGACAGCTAGAGAGGAATGCGGATTCATGGTTGCCACGGAGAGCGGGGCGGGGAGCTGGGGGTGGCGGCTAAGGGGGGGCATTCTTGTTGCCATGAGGAAAACGTTCTAGCTGCCCGCAGGGTGGTCGTACGACTCTGCGAAGAGACGAAAACCACTGAGTTTCCTTTGAAATGGGTCAGTTACATGGGGTGTGATTCATATTCCAATAAAGCTGTTTGTATGAGTTGAAGGAAGTGCCCAGTCCACAGGCAGGGACAGGACGGAGGGACTCCAGAAGCTTCACTTCCTATCAGGTGCCTGGAGTCCCTCCCCATGAAGGGGGTCTGAGGGCCCGTCCTGCCAGGAGAGGGCATGGGGGCACTACCCAGCGGGAAATCGTAACACCCTGGCTGAGCTCTCCGTCCCTGCCCCCTGCGGCCCTTCCGCCAGCCTGGGTTTGCTGCCGGGATCTCTCTGGGCAGTGCCCCCCGTTCCCTGCTGCTCAGCACAGGGCCTGGCATGTAGCAGGTGCTCAACTCTCAAGTGTGGTCCCGAAGGCCAGGGAGCCTCTGGCTCCTTCAACTCAGGCCCCCTTGCTCCTGGCTGATGGAAGTGGCCGGGGAAGGACCCGAAGGAGGACTGTCATCCGGTTCACATTCGCAGAAATGTGGGGTGTGGAAGGAAGAGAGGGCCCCGTCTGCAGGCTTGGAGCCCAGGACACCTCCATGCTCATCCCGCCCTGGGACCCACCAGCCATCGTTGTGGACTCTCTGGGTTCCTGGCACCCTCCTGGGAGGGGCTGGCGTTGGGGTCAGGAGTCATAGCCAGAGGTGCCTGAACTCAACCAGGGGAAGGCAGGGCCCGTCCCAGGGTCCCCGAGGCCTTGGTCCTCCGGGCGTCACAGACCATCCCCAGAAGACACGGGGGCAGAGGTGCCCCGCCATGCCTGTTGGATGAGATTCAAGGGGCCCCTGCCCTGGGTGCCCTAATGCCTCCGGGTGACAGGGCCCCTGCCATTGGCACCGTGGGGACTCCGGGCCAGGGGCTGCTCTGAACCTCCAGCTGGAACGCCGGAGCCCAGACCGCTTGCCGGCATCCGCCATGGCTTCTTCCAGGGTGTGTCTGCTGATCACGTGGTGGCCACGTGCCGGCTCTCTAGGAGACGACGTGGACAGGCCATCGCCCCACGTGGTCACGGCTCCCTCAGATTTGGACACTCAGGGAGAAAGTGACCCAGGGGGGCGTTGGGTCTCCCCGCCTCTCACACAGAAACGCACACATTTCTCCTGCACTAACCGCTGTGTCCGGCCGTCCTGGTCTGTGTCCTGGCGCTCTGGGCTGCTCCGGAAAGTGGCAGAAAGTGGGGCCCTGCTTTGAGGACTCAGGCCCACCCACCGGGGGCTGTACTCTGGAGGGAGGGGACTCTGGGGTCATGGTGAGGGAGGGGAGATGCCCACCCAGGCGAGCTCGGGGCCCGGAAGCGCTCATTTGGGGCCAGCTTCCCTCGGACTTGGAGAGCACGACTCACAGAAACCCACAGGAAACACATATAAAACCACCGAACTCTGCAAATTCATGGAAACAAAACATATTGGACCGAGAGATAGGTTTTAAATATTAAAATATATTTATACACACATCATTTTAACTGAGGACATCCACCAACAGACACCGCGCGAAGTCCCATGTGACCTGCGGCCACGTTCCCATGAGCCTGCCGAGTGCGCCGCTGGGGTCAGAAACAAACCCCGCACGTGGGCTGATGGCAAACACGGGTCCGCGAACGTCTGCTTTTGCACCGAGCTCCCGTCCCGCTGCCGCTCTGAGGACGGGAGGGGAGCAGGCTGGACACCCCGAGAAGGCGGCTCCCGTGGGCCCGCGCCCCTGCGGATGGCCTCACACCTGTACCCCATTCTCAGGAGGAACCGGGACGTCAGGCCCGGCGGGCTGGCAGGGTGTCATGGACAGAAGCCGCTGGGAAGCACGGCCGGCGCTCAGCCCCGCGGCGGGGCCAGAGCGTTCTTTCATCCAGTGCTTTCGATGGAGCCACACATAAGGCCCGTGTGCGCGGGGAAGGTGGGGGTTGGGGGGGTGCTCCCCAGGCTCCGGGACAGGACGGTGACCTCCGGGAGCCACACCCAGGCCTGCAGGCCGCTTTGCATCTTCTAGAAGGAACAGCTCAGGTAAGATTGCATAGATGGTTCTGATGTGTCCGGGGAAATTCAGTGGCATGTGGCTGTGTCCTTCACGGGGCGGGAAGTGGGAAGGGAATAGCTGCTGGGCCTTGTCCTTCCTGAGCTGGAGGGACCGTCACCCTGGTCCCCTGGGTCCGGGCCGGAGGTGTGCCATTCTCCATGTGCCCTGCTTGCTCTCTCCCTGGTGTCTGTGACTCACAAGCGTCCGCCACCAGCTCAGGACCCTTGGAATCCAATGGGAGGTTTCTGGGGGGTCCTCAGAACGGAAGAGGACCAACCGGTGAGGGGCCAGCCCTTCTGGGGAGAAATCTGACAGCATTCTTGGGAAGTGCCCGTGGGTGGAGGGGTGGGCCGTCAGACGTTGCTCTGCAGCCGCGGGGCCGAGCGGGCACCCTGGAGGTCCATGGGGCTATCCAAGGCCGAGGACGGGCTGGGCAGAGAAGCTGCCAGGCCATCGGGAGACTCCGAGGGGGACTTGTACAAGAGGCAGGCGGTGGTGAAGAACAGGAAACCCAGCACCTGCGGGGAGAGGAGGAGCTCGCTGGACCGCACCAGAGCGGCCCACCCCGCCCTAGCCCCGGGGACCCCGTCTGATGAGAGCACCCTGCTTCCCTGCAGAACCCTTGTGAGGACCCCAATGCTCGTCGTGAGGGAACGAAAACACCATTTGACTAAAAGCAGGACCCAGAGAAGGTGGAGGGCTTCATGGGCTGAACGGTGCCCCAGCAGAGACGCCCCAGCCCCGATCCTCAGAACCTGCCGCTGGAAACAGGTCTTCGCAGATGTCCCTTCAGTTAAGGATCTTGAGATGAAATCACTCTGGGTTTGGGGTGTGTCCACCTGGCATGCCAGGTGCCCTTATAGGAACAAGGAGACACACAACGAGAAGGCCACGTGACCCGGGGGGCGGGCAGAGAAGACGCAGCCCAGATCACTCCCCCACCTCCACCCGCCCCCCGCCGCCGCCCCAGCAGAGCTCGCTGAGGGAACGGACCCCGCCCCCGTGGGTGTGGGGCCTCTGACCTCTAGAGCCAAGGAAACAGTAAATATTTGCAGTTTTCAGCCCCGGGTTTGTGGCCCTCGCTCAGCGTTGCTGAGGCTGCTTTACCAGGCCCCAGGCGCACGGAGCTCACGGCCCTGCAGGGCTCCCACGCGGAGGGCACTGGGCGCAGGTACACGCGTGCGTTTTAACGTGTAAATGCCGGTTTCAGTGGGAACGCCCATGCTGCTTGCTGGAGTGTCACTCAGCCTGACAGGCCTGAAGCCGCTTCCACTTTGGGATGGTGACCGGCTGGGACGCATGAACCTGTCTGCTCCTCCGGCTGAAACTACCCCAGATGTTCCGAGCGCTCCCAGCCCTCGTGCCGACGCCCAGGCGTGGTTGTCTGGGTGGGTGGACGTCCCAGGTCTGGCCCGCTGCTCTGGGCAGAGGGACCACAGGGCACAGAAGCAAGGAGCAGCCCCCTGAACCGGGTGTGACTTCACAGCTGACCAGTGCTGACCTCCAGAGCTGCACAAACCCTGCTCACACCCGGCGACATCAACCCAGGGGCCCGAGGAGCCTCCAGCATCCTCGAGGCCCTTGAAGAAAAGCTCGAGGCAAGAGCACCCTGGAGCACCCCTCCCCCCACAGAAGGAAATCAAAACGCCCTTACGGACTGGCCTGAGCATTTCCCGTTAGTTTGAAGGTTTTGGGCCTTTTCCACCAATCGGGCAAAATTCAAACTATTAATAATACACTTGTCCCCAGGCATCGTGAGCCAAGGGTCCCAGCAGGAGTTTCTCCTAACGGGGTCGAGCTGAGGAGAGGGACAGCAGCCTAAGGCCCAGGAAGGCTAGACGAAGAGGGAGCCGCTCCTGGACGGACCCAGCAGGCCGCCCCTGCCGAGCCGGGAACAGGCCTGCCAGAATGCACTCACGCAACGAGCTGGCTTTCATTTCTGCAGAGCCGCAGCTGACCGGAGCCCCAGGGCTGCCCGCCAAGCTGTGGGGTGAAGGCCGGACAGTGGGGCCGGGGAGTGTCCCCAGCAGCAGGGCTTGGTGGCCCCGACCACGACTGCTCTAACTTGGAAAGGACCCTGCTCCTGGACACAAGCCCGGCAGGGTCGAGCAGGGGCTCTGAGCTGCGGGAAGGCCCCCGTGGGGCGCCTGGACCCCTGAGCTAGCTGGAGAAGACACTCGGCCTCCTGGATCGGACTCTGGAGCTCCCTCGGGGCCGCGCGGGCCAGCTGCCGCCTCTCTCACCTTGTACACCAGCCCAGTGATGAGCATGTAGCGGCTCATGGCCGAGTTCTGGTACACGAAGCAGGAGCCTTGCTGCCCACACTGGTCCTGCCAGAGCAGGCACGCCTTGTCAATCACCCAGCCGAAGGCGATGGGCCCTGGGATGCCCCCTGCAAAGAGAGGCCCGTCAGTCCCGGGCATGTGCTGGGCAGGCAGGGCAGGCGGGCCGCGCTGAGATCCCGACTGTGTGGGTTCTCAGAAAGGGGGCCTCGGTCTTCAGTGATCTCAGGGGTGCAAAGTGGGCTTCAAAGCTCCCTTCTGGGGGGCCTCTGATGCCCTGTGTGCTAAGGAGAAGCCACCCTCTGGGCAAATCAATGTCCATGGGTCCCTCTAGTGGACTGTTAGGGAATGGCGTCCTTCGCTCACTGGGCAAAGGCCACCTGGGATGCACACCAGCCAGGTGAGGAGACACATGGTGGGTGCCCTTGTGCAGTGAACACACCGTGCAACTGTACCACTCCACAACGCAGTGCACAGTACCTAGAGTTCTAACCACAATCCACTGGATTCCCAGTGCAAAGGATCTCTGCCGGTCACAGACACACCTGAAACGGAAGACAGCAGCATCAGCACTCAGCGGAGGGTGGCGGTGTACCATGTCACACCCCCACGCCTGCAGCCAGGTCCTGGCCCAGCCCCCGGCTGCCTCACTGCCTCCCGGGGTGGGAAGCCCGGCACAGAGGCAGCTCGCGCTCGCGGGGGCCCCGCACGTACCCTGCGGGATCTGCAGATCGTGCTGCAAGGGAAGGTTCTGGATCAGAGAGAAACCCAGGCCCAGGGCTTACCGTAGCGTTGCCGTCAGTGCAGGGATGCTGCTGAGGAATGTAAAGATAATTACAGCGAATATGAAAACCAGAAGGAGGGGCTTTCTCTGACAAGTTGAAGTGCATTTCCCTGCAGTAGCATGGCCAGAACCAGAGGAAAACTCCTGAGGGACGCAGCTACAGCCTCGGTATGCCTGGGGAGCGCAGCAATAGCGCGGGTTACCGGAGGGAGGGGCAGGGGCCCTCCCGGAGCGCGGCGCCCTCGGCTGGCGGACAGCAGCCGGACTCACCTTCCGGCCGTCCGCGCCGGGCGCCGCCTCTCCAGGGCAGCCCGCGTGGCAGGGGGAGTAGTAGGTGAGGCCGTTGGAGCCGCACACGGGGCTGTAGTGCTCGGGGCGACAGGCGCACGGGGCGTTGCAGGCGGCCGTCAGCTCCAGGCGGCCTTCGGGCAGGGGGCTGCGGGCGGGAGACAAGGCGGCGGTGGGATGGGGGCTGGCACTGGAGGCGGGCGGGGGGGTGTCCCGCCTCAGGACTCGGCCGGCAGCCACATGGGCTCCAGCCCAGGAAGGCGCTTCCCACACGCGGCATCGCTGGGAACGCTCACGCCACACGCGCCACGCCCCGTTCTGCTGCGACTCCCCGGCCGCTGCGCGTCCCTGACTCGGTCGCAGCAGAGGCAGTGTGTGCCCGGGGCTCGGAACACAAACACCGCGAGAGAACCCAGGCCAAAGCCCTCCGCTGTGGCGCCAGCCCCCCAGGCCGCAGCCGCATGTTTGCACAGATAGGGGTGTGCACACACAGCAGCGATCACGGACGCACACGTTTTCCTCTTTTCCACTCAAATAGGAAACACCATCCGGCCGTCTGGTCCTTCCTGCCCTCGGGCACTGTAAGCTGCCGCCAGCCGCAGGCCCAGCTCCCGCCCCCTCCCATGGTGGCAGAGCCCTCGTGGGGGGCCACGGCGGTGGAGCCGGTCCCTCTCCACCAGCCCCGTGAGAGGACCGTCCCACCACGGCACGCTTGCGCTCTGCGTGACCTGTCCACTCTGCAGGAAACCCCGGGAGGAGCCCGCCCAGCCCACGGCAGGCCGTCCACACCTGCTTTTGCTCTTCCCCAAGGGCCACCGAAGGGCTGTTGCTCTCACATCCCTATGACGGGGGACACATGAGAGCCGACCCTGGGCCACTTTCCGTGTGCACACGTGGAGGGGAGCTGGGCAATCACAGTCTCACTTTCCAGACCAGAACACTGGGCTCAGGGCTTCTTAAGGGCTGACGCTGGGCTGTCTCTGAGTGACCGTGAGCCGATGTCTTGCTGCTGTGACCCTCTCCAAACAGTGACCAACTGCCAACCCCACCTTCCCCATCCCTCACGGCCACTGGTGCCCCCAACAGGCCCCCCCCAACCCCCAGTGCCGCCCGGCCCTGACCTGCCGTTGTAGTTGGCCGTCACGCCCGCCATGGGCGTGCTGGGGCACTGGACGAAGAACACGAAGGTGGCCAGCAGGCTGGTCAGGGTGCAGAGCGCACACAGCTTGACGACGCCCGCACCGCGGAGCCTGCACTTGTTCACAAGGAAGCCGCCCAGAAACGTCCCACCGCCGCCTGCTGGCACCACCAGGTACCCTGCCAGAAAGGGGGGCTCAGCGTGGTCCTGGGGGTCAGGACGGGGCCGGCAACCACTGGCTCTTCTTGTCCCCAGGCTACGGGCGGGGAGACAGAGGCCCAGATCTGTCCGTCCGTCCATGCAGCAGCCGCTGGATGGGGGCCGCTGGGGGAGCTTTGGTCCTGGGACCCCCAGGAAGGACACCCGGCCACCTGGAGGCGGAAGGACGCAGGGGCAGGGCAGCCCCCAGGACAGCGTGTTTCCTGGCCCACCCAGGCTCACGGGCATGGCCAAGCCCGAGCGTCCAGCTCTTCAGGGGGGCACCACTGCCTAAACCCTTTCTGCAGTGAGCCAGGGACGATGAAGGCTCAGGCCCTGGGGGGAGCACAGACAAGCTGCCCCCCCCCAACTAGAGCAGATCCCCTCCAGGAGGGTCTGCCGAGAGAACTGGCCGGCACGTTGCAGTCGGCACTCCCACCTCTCGGGAAGGACCATCGGGTCCACGTGACAACACCGCTGACCGGTCCACTCCTGCTCCCGGGGCGTTCCCTGCAGGACCACAGGCCCCACGAGCCCTCACGCTAGAGCTGGACTTCCCAAAGATACTCCAAAGACCCCTCCCCCATCTGAGAACTCACGAAAAGGCAGAGGACCCTCCAAGATGCCACAAGTGTTCTCACCAAACAAGGTGGCGGCTTCTGAGGCACTCAGGCTAAGCTGGGACTCCAGGAACTTGGGGCCAAAGGTGGACATGCCGGCGACAAGCGTGGCCTCGGTGGCCCCAGCCAGACACAGCAGGACGAATGCAGGGTTTTTCAGGAGGAGCCAGATGGAGCTGGATGGGGAAGAGAGAAGAGACAGAGGGTCAAAGTGGGCCAGAGCAGGGTGTGTGGAAGTACTGTTCCCGGGGGCCGTGGTCCCATCCACCTGAGTATAGAGAGGCCCTGGGTCTGAGAGGGGAGTGGAGTGGGCTGTGAGCTGTGGCCACTCTGCATCCATCCCAGAGAAACTGAGAGAGGGCGTGAGGCTGGGCTTTGGCTGGTGAGGAACGGGCTCTAGGAAACAGAGCTGCTAAACTGGGGAAGAGCCTTATCAGTGCTCTCCCCCTCCAGTGCGGGGAGACCCTGAGTGCATGCTTCAGTCACCTGCGGCGCAGCTGTGACGACCCTGGCAGATGGCCTGAACCAGGAGCCGGGGGCTGGGGGAGGTGCCGTCCCACGTCCAGGACTCGCCAGGCCCCCACGGAAAGGGAATGGGCACCGGAGGGTGGGGCCCCTTCCCAACTACCAGCCCTGGAGAAGGGGGGACAGAGGGGCCATCCAAGGAGGCTCTGGGTGGACATGGCCGGTCCCCCTGTTCCTCTTGGTGCATACTTGGTGGGGGCGGTATTGTCGGGTCCCGAGGGAGGATCTTGGCATTGCCCCTCCGGACCTGGCCCACTGATTCCCCAGGGAAGCTGGCCTCGCTCCCTCGCTGTGGACAGGGAGTGGGACCCCTGCATGGCCCTGGGGGACGACACTTGGCCTCAGGTCTCACTGTGGCCAACTCTGTGAGTGTCAGGTGTGAGCTCTTGCTGCTGTACCCCCATGTCCCCGCCGAAGGACGGGCTGGGCACCGAGGCCTGCCCCACACTGCCTGGCCTTGGGATGGACACCAAGTTTCTTTGAGGTCCACTTGCTCTAGCTAAACTGGGGTTCTGCATCTTGTTGGGGTTCAGGCCTAGCAGGGCCTGAGTGTGCTGATCACTGTCGAGGAAATGTCAAGAATGGCACAGAACGGGGCGCCTGGAGGGATCAGTGGGTTAAAGCCTCTGCCTTCGGCTCTGGTCATGATCCCGGGGTCCTAGGATCGAGCCCCACATCGGGGGTCCCTGCTCGGCGGGGAGCCTGCTTCCTCCTCTCTCTCTCTGCCTACTTGTGATCTCCACATGTCAAATAAATAAATAAAATCTTAAAAAAAAAAATGGCACAGAACAAGAGAGACTCCTTACAGAATCTTTCATCTGAGCGGAAAACATGGAAATCCCAGCCGTGGAGGCCGGAAGTAATGACGTTCAGCCTCTGTGGGGGGCCCTCCCACCTGCCTGTCCCGACTCCCCGAGCTGTCCCCAGCCATCTGGCCACTGGGCAGCAGGTGCCTGGACTAGGGCCCCAAGGCGTTTGCGGGTACGGTTGTCCCTGACCCCGGGGCTGGTCTCTCTGGAGCCCCCAGTCCTGGCAGGCCGGGCCGTCTCACTCCTGCACCGAGGGAAAAGCAGATCGTGGCCATAAAGGACACCATCCGACTGCGGCTGGGGGCGGCTCTGAGAGGCTGCCCTGGGCTGAAATTCTCAAACCTGCAGCTCAGCGCTGTTCTCTGAAGAGAGCAGGTGCCAGTGCTGTCCTCGGGAGCCCCAGCCCCAGAGACTCAGCTTCCAGGGGTGCCTCTGGTCACCCCTGTGCCAGCCGGGAGATGGGCGCTCTCATCTCAGTGCACCTGTCACAGCAGCTGCAAACACCTTTGCGCTCAAACTCTCTTTTTAGGACGCAGGCCGACAGTAAACTGGACGTCGGAACCTGAAGCCGTGATTAGCCTTTGCATGGAGGCCTGGAGCAGCGGCCAGGAGGGAGTTAAGGACAGACACTCCCCTGGGCCCGGCATCTCACACGGGGCGGTGCTCACACTCACCCCGGCGCCATCCCCCACCCTGGTTCTCAGCAAAATTGATTTTCAGGCTTGAAGACTGATAACAGTTCTCTTCTGTTTGGCACTTGGGTCCCACGTCCAGGAAGGGAAGGAGATGCCCCCAGAGTGGGTGCCGGGGGACAGGGGCTTGCTGGGTTCTGCACCTGACCCGGCCCCGGACCTCGTCCGCTGGGCTCTTAGGTGCGGGGGATGCCCTGGGTTGGGCTGGTCCCCTCCCCGGGCCTTGCTCAGACCCACCCAGGCTTTGGGGTGCTCAGCTGGGCTCGAGGAGGAGGCCACTCCCGCCTGTGGCGTGCACACGTCTGCGTCTCTTCATCCTGTGAAGCTAACAGGATGTCTTACCAATAGCTGGTTTGGGGAGCTAAGCCTGGGCACAAACCTCTCGGCCGCCATCCCTGGGGCTGCTGACCCACTGGGGCCCCAGCGCCGGGTGCAGGGAATAGAGGTTCTGCTCCGGTGCAGGCAGACTGGCTGGGCTGGCCCCACACAGACGGTCTCATACCCCTGGCCCCTGCGGCCCTGGGCCAGCTCAGCCTGCTCTGGGGTGCCCTCAGGAGTGGGCAACACTATGGTGGTCTCACACGAAGTGGGAAGCTGGAGAGCCAAGCCCTAAATGGGTCAGGGGCCACCCCCGCGACCCGTAGCAGGACAGCCCTGTTTCCTCTGCATGAGGGAAGCAAAGCAGCGGACAGCAGACAGCGTGGGGCCCTCCCCGGAGGCCACCTTTGATCCTGATACCCCTTCACATCACCATGGCAAACACAGGCAAAGGGGACTCATTCCCGCCACTAAGAGCCCCCAGCCCCCTGAGGCTGGTTAGACACAGCCGTTCCTGAGCTCAGGCCCCGGAGTCCTGGAGGGGCAGGCAGCACGCAGTGACCCTGAGGACCCAGGCTGGCCACCGTCCAGGGGTTCCTTTCCCACCCGCGGGAGAGGCCTGCTGCAGAATGCCTGGGCCCGTGAAGAGGGGTGCTGGGCAGGCAGGAGCCGCCGACCCGCATCTCTCTTTGACCAGAGCAGGCCAGGGATCTTCCATCCCGACTGTATGTGCGGACCGCAAAGCCGGGCCAGGTCACACACAAGGAGGAAGGGAGAAGCACAGGAGGGCAGGGGCCGGTGCAGGGCCATGAGGGCAGAGCCCAGGACCAATCCTGTCCTCCCAGGGTCCTCAGCGACCTTGAGGCACAGGGGGGCATGAGCCTGGAGCCCAGCAAGTGACACTTCCTGAATGGTCAGAGAACACAGAGGAGGGAGGAGCTGGTGCTCCCACAGGACCAGCCCTGGGAGGAGGGCTCCGGCTGCTGCTCCCTAGTCTCTCCGTTTTGGGGCAGAGACCTGAAGTGCCCCGGGTCATGCAGGAGTTTTAGGATCTGTGCGCTGACCACGTGGCCCTGGATGGTTCACACGGACTCTCCTAGCTTGGGCTCAAGATGTGGCAGGTGCAGACCTCCCCAAGGGTCCTCAGGACACGGGACACAGGTGAGAGGCACACACCACACCCCGTAAGGGACTTACAGAGGCAGATCTCTGATGGTTTTCCCGAAGTCAGGGTTGCTGGCAGCCTTGTGGCCGCTGTCCTTCAACTGCTGTGTTTCAGACACTCTCATGACCAGGTAGCGTTGGGAGCCTGGAAGGACAGAGAGATCAGTGGGAGTCAGAGACCGAGGGCGAGGCTTGAAGCCCCTCCCCACTCCCAGGTCTGGGAAGGTCCCCTGGATGAAGGGTGCAGGGACAGATGTGGTACGGGGCTGCAGCATGGTGACCGCTGACCTGCTGGCCGAGAGGAGAGAGGTGGGAGAGAACCAGCAGCAGGACACACCCCAGGACCAGGGGGAACAGAAGGAGCTTCTGACATGGAGAAGCCGCGGGGGGGTGGTGCCTGTGGCCAGTGGCACGGGCCAGGCCAGCCCTGCAGGATGGGGGCCCCGCCCAGACGGTCCCGGGTTCCCCGCCAGCCCAGAGGAGGAGGAGAGGGAGCACCCACCTGGCAGCTGCCGGGGGTAGCCGAGGATGGGGATGGCGGTGAGGAAGGCGGCGGCCCCCGCCCCCAGGAAGCCCACCCACCAGGCGCCGACCCACAGTGGGTTCTCGGTGGTCAGCTCCGTCCTGTGAGGAGAGGCACGTGGGGTCAGCGTCCCGTCCACGGCACTCAGGGCACCGGCGCCGGCCATCCTTCTGCACGCGGGTCCGTGAAAACCTAAGCCTCCAGGTGGGTGGCCGTGGGGTGTGGAGTGACTGGAACCCGCACCCCCCACCTGCCCTCCTCCAGCTGGCCGCTCCGGGCCTGTAATCGGTCTAATAAACGGGTCATCTAGTGAGTGCGGCGCCTTCCTGAGTCCCGTGAGCTGCTCGAGTGGCTCATCTTGCCCAAGGACGGGGTCGTGGAGCCAGGCCGGACGGAGGCTGCGGGCACCCGGCACCCGGCACCCGAGGCTGGTGTTGGCCGCGGGGGGTCTCCTACGGGCTCTGCACTGACTCTGGGAAGTCTATCAGAACTGGGTTGAATTTGGGGTGCCCGGTCGGCATCAGGGAGACCCCACGGGGAGGAGTCACCTGGCAGCTCAGAAGTCCACAGCCACCCCGCACTGGGCCTCAGAGAGACGGCTCCCGGTGTCGCCTGGCTCCGGGGAGCCGCGGACCCGCCACGCTGTCCCTGCCCCCAGGCCCCCAGTCCGCCAAAGACCAGGGAGGACCCTCGGCCCCCATGGCGCCGTGCTGTCCCGGGGGGCAGGCAGAGTCAGGACACTCACTGGCGGCCGATTTCGGTGTAAATATTCAGCAGGGCGCCTCCGATCAGGTAGCCGGCGGCTGGGCCGAGGATGGCGGCCGTGTAGAAGACGGCTGCGGAGAGAGGGAGAGCTGTGGAGGGGCCTCATCGTGCGGGCTGGGGGCTCCGCTCAGCGCCGCCAGTGCCCCATCGCAGTGACAGGACCCCGTGTCCCTGGGTCGGCACCGCTGAGCCGCTTGGAGGGACAGAGCCCGAAGTGAAAAGGAGGAGGCCGGAGTCGGCGGATGAGGTGTGGCCCGGCCCCGGGTGCCGGCCGGTCTCCCTCGAATGTCCCTGAGTGCCTGTCCTTGGCAAAGCCTGGCCTGGCAGGAGGGACTCGGGGACGTGGTGGGCACGTGGCCGAAACCCAGAAACCTTACTCCACGTAAACGTGGGGATCTTGGAAGGAGCGGGAGTCTTGGGCCCAGCTCCTGCGGACAGCAAGGGGCTGGCTGACCCCGGCCCCGGGGGAAGGCCCGCGCGCACCTGCGGCCTCACCCGTGACCACGCATGGCCAGCGAGGAGTGAGGACGTGCCTGCCCCGTGCCCCCCCGCAGCCGCACTCACCGATGTAGACCGGGGAGTAGCTGGACTTGACGTTCTCGTCCAGATAGGTGACGCCCAGCGTGTAGAGTGGCGTGGCGCCCACGCCGTGCAGGAACTGGCCCAGCATGAAGACCAGCCGGTATCCGGACAGGCCCGAGGCGCGGTCCCGGCACACCACACTGCGGTTGGCCTGGCACGTCCCCACGCCCTCGGCCATCTCGGCCTCGTAGGTGCCCGCTGTAAAGTGCGGCAGCGCGAACAGCAGCGAGCCGGCGCCCAGGACCAGCACGCCCCAGCCCAGCCATCGGGGCTTGTGTCCGCCGCCCCCGAAGTAGCTGACGAAGGTGAGGCACAGGCAGGCGGCCACGTCGTAGCAGCTGGCGATGAGGCCGCTCTGGTGGCTGTGCAGGTCGAAGCGGCGCTCGATGGAGGTGACCACGGTGTTGACGAAGCCGTTCACGGTCATGCCCTGCAGGAAGGCCGCCGCACACAGGAAGAGCAGGAAGCCGCGGGGCGTGTTGAAGGCCTGCAGGCACCTGGGAGCGAAGGCCCCCCAGCCGCACGCCACGCTCTGCGGCCTGGCCGCCACGTAGCACATCTCGGGGGGCGCCCGGGGGCCGTGCTTCTCAGCCTGTGGCGGGCACAGTGGCTGGCTGCAGGCGTCCAGGGGGCTGCGCATGGCAGGACCCAGGGTGCCGTGGCTCCGGGGTGAGCCGAGGGATGCCAGCCCGCTGGGGGGTCCGTGGCCGCACCCGCCATCCGCGGCTGAGGGTTGGCTTGGGAAGACCAGCTGAGGCTTGTCCCCCATCGAGTGCTGAGGCATCTCCACCTGGGGGGCGCAGGGGGCAGCTACAGAAACCTCCCGATGGTAGTCCAGTGGCTGGTTTGTTCTGCGAGAAGAGCTTCTGGTTAGAAAACTTATGTGGACGCTTGACCACACCAGCATCTCGGAGAGAACACGCCTCGTCCTGTGCCTGGTCCCTCGGGGCAGCCGGTGGCTCCGCTGCCCACTCCCCAGTCTCATGGGGCTGACCTTCTGCCCCACCTGCATCCAGGGCCACACCTCCCAGACCCACACACCTGAACAAGGCCACAGTCGATGCCCGTGTGGGCCCCAGGACCACCCTGACCCATCCAGTCCTCTGTGACCTCTGCTCGGTGGGTATGAGCTGTGCTCGATGCTCTGGAGGGACCGCCCTGGTGGACAGGGCCCCCAGCTGTCAGCCTCAGTTCCTCATTAAACTCACACGCTTCCAGCACTCGTTTTAGTCCAGAGTCTGGAGGGCAATGAGGGAAGGGGTGGCAGCAGGGTCGCGCCCCGCAGGAGGGTCGTTGCACTTGCTGCCACGGCAGGTTTTCAAGATGTCACTTCGAGACACGTGTGCGGCGACATGGCAAGTTAGGAAGAAAAGGTGCCTGTGCTCCCTCTGTCTGCCGCTCCCTACCCAGCCCCGTTCCGGGGGCCCTGCCTGGGCTGGGGTTGGGTAATCTTGCCTCCCGAGGCTCCCGGGGCCCTGTCAGAAAGCGCAGCACCGACGTGGGTACACGGCTGCCTCCGCACGTCCCAGGCAGCTGGTTCTCCCACCAGAAACCAAGCAGCAGCGCGCTCGCACGAGCGGTGGGAGAAGACATCCAACCTTCACTGTAGGCGGGCGGCTCCTGGGCCCTCTCCGCCGGGGTCTTCTGCAAAGCCCACCGTACTTCCCCCCGAGTGACCTCTGGTTATGGGCTGAGCTGTGTCCCCCTGGAGGAGACACTCTGGAGCTGTCAGCCATGAGAGTGCGGGGACACGGCGCCTTTGGAGAGGTGAAACCCATCAGCATGGGCCCTGATTTGCTGGGACTGAGGTCATAGAGAAAGGGGAGGCCTGGGCACAGGTGCTCGCACAGGTGGACAGCATGTGAGAACGCCGTCCACCAGCAAGGACAGAGCCTGGAGCAGGGGCTCCTGCCTGGCCACCCCTCCCCCTCAGGCATCCCGTTCCAGAGCTAGGATAGTCAAGGCCTGGAGTTTCAGCCACAGGTCTGTGGTCCTTTGTCTGGCAGCCCCAGGACTCTGACACACCCTTCCCCGTTTGCGTCGGGCCACTTCATGCTCAGAGGCTCCCAGCAGGTGTGAAGCCTGGCTTTGTCCAGAGCCTTTCTCCGGGAGCCGCGGAAACAGCACAGGCTTGAGCTCTGAGGTTTGGGGAGCAGCCCAAGGCAGGGACCCCATTGGTGGTGACTCAGGACCACGAAGTGTCCTCAGACCCAGGTTCGCCAGGCCAGCCCTGCCCCCACCGTGCACAGTCCAGGGTGTTGGGTGGACGCTGGCAGGGGCTCCTGCCGTCCCGTTCTGTCAGCAGAGGCTCCTTCCTGCAGCCTAGCAAAGCGCGGCTTTGTTGGGCCCTGGAGGGGCCTGGAGGGGGTCGAATGGTGGTCTCCCCAAAAGACAGGTGCACCCAGACACTCAGTGTGACCTTATTTGGAAGAAATGTCTTTGCTGATGTGATTAATGGGTTGAAATGAGGTCATCTGTGTTTGGGTGGGTCCTAATCCAGGGACAAGTGTCCATAGTAGACAAGACACAGAGAAGTCGCGTGACAACAGAGGTTGAGACCGGACGGACGCAGCCACGAGGAAGCGGGGGATGGGGGGGGGTCAGGAGCTGGACACGTGGAAGGACCCCAGCTGGAGCATCTAGAGGGAGCGCGGCCCCCCTGACACCCTGGTCTCAGGCTCTGGCCCCCAGCGCTGGGAGAAGCGCCCGGTTCACAGAGCTCTGTTCGGCGGCTGTGGGAAACTCACCAGCCCCTGGGGACGCCATGAGCTGTCCCGTGTGGCCCGGTTTCCAGGAGGCCACAGGCCTGAGGGGAGGTGGCCGCTGAGCTTAACAGACCCCTCAGAGCCTGTGGGCGTGCGACCAGCCGTCCCCCCGACACCGCAGTCAAGGAACCGGGACCAAGCCCGCGGTGTCCGTGTCCGGAGCCAGCTGCTCACCACGGACACGGGTCCCCACAGGCTACCTGCGGCCAAGTGCCGAGGCCGTGCGTGTCTGAAGAATTCCGTGGCTGCCGTCCCCGTTGGCCACGAGAGCGCTAGGGCCTTATCACAGAGCCGCAAGGCCAGCAGGCTCGAACACGGGCAGAGCTGGGGGGCCACTCCTGGAAGAAGCTCTGGCCGGCTGGCAGCCCCGCACGCACAGAGACCCAGCTGCTGGAGCCTGCGGTCACAGAGGCCACCTCCAGCACGCACCACGTCTGCACCCGACCACGGCAGAGCCCCGCAGACCACAGCCCCCAGCACGAGCCCCAGCACGAGCCCCAGCACCACCCAGCCCCATGGCTCAGGCAGGCCTCCAGAACAGCACACGGAGAAGCACCGCAAAGGTTCGATGTTACCCCAGATTCCAAGGCCCAGAGGCCACCCTGTGCTGACGGCACCACCGTGTGTTTTCCTCTAGACGCGTGCTCGTGTGCACACACGCATGTGCACACCCACACGCCACGCACGGCCATCTGCGACCCCACACACACAAACACCTGCTCGCACGTAAACCACACACGCGATGCAGGCCCAAGAGCTGGGACGGGCCCTGGAGCCCCGGAACCTCAACCAGGCCGGGGCCGTGGGAGCCACGGGAGCTCTGGGAAGCCCCCGGCAGACTGTGGTGGGTGAAAGCTCAGTATCGGGCCCGTGGGAACGACTCATGGGTCGGTGTCCCCAGTAAGTGGTTGCGATACCAGCCGCCATCAGACACCTGCTCATCGGCGCCCGGCTTGCCTGGCACGCTGGGCTCTAACCGTTGGTCCTGCCTCTGCAGGATCGAGGGCTCAGGACGGGGCCGGGCAGCTGGCTTCTGTGACTACAGACGGCCACAGCGAAGAGTTCTCCCTTTAGAAACCGGGAGCCACAGGAGCACAGCACTGTGCGGCTCCAAGTCAGTGGCGAAGTTTCCCCTGCACCGACCGCTGAGGGTCTTGGACGTGAACATATGATGCTTATGCCGGCGCGTCGCATTCCTTAAGGCAGAAACCCAGTCTGGGGTACCCTCAGCTGCATGACGCACTGGTGGCCGCCGCCTGCGCCTCAGAACTGAACCCTTGGAGCTGTGGGCCGCGAGCCTCCTCCTGGGCGGCCTCCTCCAGCGGCTCTGGTCAGCAGCCTGACTGGCGTGTGCCCTCTCCCCACTGTGCGGTCCCCTGGCAGCTCGGCAGCCGGGACGGAGCCTCTGCAAACTGTCCTTATGCCTGGAGTCCTGCCACAGCTGCCCTGCCCGGTCTGGAAGGCTCTCACTCTCACCAAGGCTCTTGGTCAGACACGGGATGGTGGGCCCCCTGGGGACACCGCGTGAGGAGGGGGGTGGTGCCCAGAATCGTCCCCTCCATCTGTAGGCCGGTGGCAGAGCCCGAACGAGTCTGGAGACCTGTGACACTTGGAGTCTCCTAGCCGCCAGGATGGTCCTGAGAGTCGTGGGACCTCCGGAGGACATTTCTGAGTTTGCACCAGGATCTCAGGCGGATCTGGTACCAACATGTGCGCGGGGTGCCAGAGACAGCTCTGGACGAGGGTGTGCCGATGGTCATGCCAACGCTGGGTCTGAGGTCAAAGGATGTGTTGTGTGCCCAAGGACACCATCTCCCGTAGAGGCCTGTCAGGGGGCCCGGCCCCCGGGGGGCCAGCAGCTCTGCCTGAGAGCCTCACAGCTGTAGTGGCCGAGCCCAGCGGCACACACCGGGACGTGTGGGTCCAATGGGCACAGAGCTGCTCTGTCTCCGTCTCCTGGCCCTCAGGTCCCTTGTGGGCGGTCCTTTGGGATGTGGGCATGTGACCCAGGTTCATCATGGGCACTTTCTTTCCAGGATCTGCTCCCAAGATGGGCAGAGGGACACCCAGGTGGTCAGTGTGGTCACCCGGGAGAAGGTGACTTCCCAGCTGCCCTTCCTGTTGGCCACCCAGGCAGTGTCAGCTGACCCACATTAAGGCCAGGCCGGTGGCTCTGTGGACACTATCTATTGTTTGTATCTTAGGCCCCCGCGGGGAGGATGGGCAGAAGGTGTCAGGGGCTGGAGGACCCAGTGGCCCACTACACGGGGAGGGACTGGCCCCTCCGGGGAGGACTGGGCACCACTGTGCTTTCTCCTGGAGCCCTGAGAGCATGTCCATCACAAACCGGTCTGGACAAAATGTGTGCCTGCTTTCCACCTGCTGATGAAGCCTGGTGGGCACCTTCTGTAGGGGCCAACGTCACAGTCAGTGGGTGCTGAGCTGAGCTGGAGTAGTGGGCCGGGCAATGCAGCAGGAGGCAGAGGCAGGAGGCAGACCCACGGGGAGCCAAGGGTCACAGTGCTTCGCAGGAAGGACAGGCCAAGAGGCTGCCCCTACCCCTTGGGGACTCCAGGTACCGTCCACTGGTATCCTCCCCTGAGAGAGCCCCGGGGCCTCTCCCACCTGGCGACCCCTCTCAGTCCTCAGCCCGGAGCTACTGCTGATGCAGCCGGATGGTGGGCCCACCTGTCAGTCTGGTGGGCAACGCATTCCTGGTGTGTCTGCAAGGGTGTTTCTAGAAAGATTAGTACTTGAGTTGGAGTACTCAGTGCAGGTGGGCCTCGTCCGATCAGTTGAACGCCGAGAGAGAGCAAAAGGGCTGACCCTTCCCTGAATTTCTCCTGCCTGGCCACCTTGGAACCAGGACATCATTCTTCCCAGGTCTGGAACCGGCGTTCAGGTCCAGACGACCAGCACACGTCTACCTCTTCTCTCCCCGGCTCCCAGCTCACCGCCGCAGACTGGGGACCCGCCAAACTCCTAACTGCATGGGCCAGGTTTCTAATAATAAATCTTTATCTGATACATAATCTATAAATATATAAAATATGTGTATTTATATATATAATATATAAATTTATACAAATACATAATATTCATAGCACATTATTTGTATTTTATAATATATATTAATTTATATACAATATAATTACACAATATATATTTATATATTATATCAATAAGTTATAATATAATAATATAAATGATATGTATAAATTCATATAAATAATTATAGAGATATAAAGAGATGCATAGAAAGATCTAAGTACATACAGATACATATGTATCTCTCTGTGTGTCTGTCTCTCCTCCTGACCATTTCTGCGGAGAATCCCGAGGGACGCAGCGGGTACTTTCGCACCAGCACCTGCTATCTGCAAGGCCCGTGCCGGGCAGTGGCGTTTGGGGACCTCCAGGACC